GACATAGCTAATTAAAAATAAACCAGATATCCATAGATGGGCTAGTTGAGCTCACGATCATTAGTAAATGTCTTACGCGTCGATGGGATGCCCTTACTTATTGGCATGTGAGCAAGAAACCATATATATGTATATGTATCACCTGAACGAACCTGTGGCTTGATCTCGAATATTTAGGCGCTCTCTGGGTTTATTATGGATAAGGTCATGGGGGGAGCTAGAAACACACCTACCCGTAGACGAGCTGGACACGGCGTCGAGGGCCTAATCGGGAGATCCCAAAGAAAAAAAATAAAATATGAAATGAAATGAGCCCTTATTAGCATTGTTAGATCGGCTTCCACTTGTCGTATCTGCAATCGGGCATAAGAGGCTTTCATAATGTAACCAGTTAGTCAGGATGAATGTGTGTGTGTGTGTGTGTGTGTTTCGTCCGTCCGTTTTACATCATGTGTTGCACAATAGGAGTTAAGAGGGACTGAGAGTGGTACGGTAGATCGCGTTGTCCATGCATCTTTTTTTTTTTTTTTTTCGATGAAGGTATGTGACAAGCACTAGTTTGCATGTTGCGCCGAACGAACGCGAACTTGTCCTCGTGACGCTCACGTGCATATATATATATTGTTACGTCAGGCGAATTAGTAAGTATATCGCCGCACGTGAATTGGAAAATTGCAGGAAAGAAGCACGTGTTTAGGTTGGCCCCCTAGAATCGCAAGAAAAGAAATGGCCTATTACGATAGGCCATAAATGCTGGAAGACCGCGCAAAAAGAAAAGAAAAAAAAGGAATACCATTGAGGCACCAAGTACTTGTATATATTTACTCCTTTCAAAAACGCTAAGCGAGGCTACTTACTACTGCCACAGTATTTGTATGAAGTCGGACAGGAGTGTTAATTACAGTGGCTTTATAAGAAAGTTGTGATGCCTATCTTGAGTGCATGGGCGCGCGGGCAAGAGGGCACGAGTATATATACGTCTGGCCGCCGTCTGTCTAAGCGAGAGTGATCATCCATCATTCCGAGCGGTTGAACCTAAGTGGGATGATGGGGGGGGGGGGGGAGAAAAGTAGAAGTAGCGCATGATCGCAGTGTATGAGGACCTAGTTCGGTATGGTCCACATTTCATCAGGGTGTGTGTTGGGAGGGTATTACTTGGCCAGTTGAAAAAATGGATCCCTAGATACCCTGCGAGTAAAGGAAGGAAACCTCGAGCGGTCCGATAAAATAGTGAATTGCATTAAGCAAATTTATCGCCGATCATGATACGGCTTATCATCAGATCAGCGGATGCCCTTTTTGTTTTAACAAGAAAAACAAACAAACAAACAATTCTTCTGACGAACCTTTGCTGAACAGCCCCAAGTTCAAGTTCAATATCCAAAAACGGGTTGACAGCCGCGCACAATAACGCGTGCTCGCCTATTTCCAAGCTTTCTTCACCCTGCCCCCTCCCCCTCCCCCTCGAAAAGAAAAAAGAAATCGCGTGGAGTTCCCATGTAAGGAGCCAGTATGTATCCCGATAAGCTGTGCAAGATTTCCGTGAGCGCTGCGAGAAACGGCGGAAGTTTTCTGCGTGCCACCGGCATAGATGTACCAGGTGAGGAGTCCGACTACAATGGATCACAGTATAGTACGTTCCATACTGCATTAACAGAAGAGAGAGGGATCTGGGGGAAACGCAGGGAGTTCCCAATATCTCACTCGGTTTCCAAAAGCACCGAAACATAAAAGCCATGCGCGCGTCCAAGGCTAGAGTGAAGTCATGTGCAGTCCCATCGATTTTTAATCGGAATCAAGCTCGCAAGGGAGGGAAAGGGGGTCCTTGTGGTAGCAGTAGAAATTCAGGGACCTGTGGCGAAATAGACAATCTGCAAGGACAAAAGGAGATGTTCGCTCCCATAAACGCTACTCGATTGGGTCGCCGGAACTGATTTAAATATATCCCCAAGTGTTCAGACTGCAGAGTATGTGGCACCCCACCCGTGAACTACTTGCGTCACTGGCTGTTTTTTTGCTTCAAATCGGTGAGTCAGCGTTCCTGGGTTGAACAGACCCAGCCGTCTCGGCCAAGATTCGAAGTCCAGACGTTGAGCTGCAAGATTGACTTCAGACAAAATCTGCTCAGGCAGCTAGGGTTTAAATAACACTGTGCCGTTACACTAGTGGGAATCATCATAGCGTAACATGGCAGTCGAAATTGCAGACAGAGAAGGGAGGAGCTCGGTAAGGATTCTAAGGAACATGCCGACCTGTTGTTTACGCTTCCAGCGTCGAACATTGGTTCGGCATCTTTCTGACGGCTCTTTCCATCCGACACCCACGAAACACGCCAGGGAGGAAAGTTAGTGGGCAATCGAGCGACTGAGAAGGCGTTCTTGGCTGCTCTCGAGCTGCGGCTACGCCCCCATGGAATCTTCCACGATACTCAAGCCCAAATGGGTCCCCATAGAGCAGTTGAAGCCAGGAGAGAAAAGGAGGCAGAAAGGGCTCATCAAGCTCTGTGTTGACCTAAGTCCTGAGATCATGGACAAGTTGATACGGAGCTATGGCCCGTATCCTCTCTTCTGGCGCTTCGACGTGCGTGCTATGGTGAGTGCTATGGTGAGTGATGCCTTCGTGGAAAACTTGAAAACCACACTAAAATTTCTCATTGTCTAACCAGATTCAGGAACTTGAGGCGGGGAAGCAAGGCGGTTCGGAGGGGGAGGGGCCGGCGTTCATGGTCACCCGCGAACGACATCCCATGGGCCTCCATTCCAGGGAGGCAGTCAGGGATGCCATTGGGGGGCACCATCGGCCGTACCCGCCCACCTGCGTGCTTCCCCCCCCCCCTCACCCCGATCAGCGGGGGCCAAATCTTGGTGCGCTGCGGATAAGACCTCAACCTTTCCCCATCCCACTGCCGCCGCCGCCTATACCACTGCCACCACCCCTCCCCCTCCCCCAGGTCCCACTCCTTCACCGGCTCCCCCCAACCAATAGACATCTCCAAATGTCTCGTACGCTTGAGTACACACCATGTACTCGTCAGATCAGTGTGAGTTTATCTAGTATCATTGCGTGGATCTCCCTGATATGGGTTGCTCCGGCTAGGATGAAGTGCACGTTCCGACCGTTCGCGGTCGAACACCAAACCCACATGGCGCAATAGGTTCCCACCTTCCCACAAGGGGGAACTTATGAGCGCAAGCCTGGCGCTGGCCGTGAAATGGAAGTTCATCTATTCCGGCGGCGCAGCCAATATATCGAGAGACAATCCTTTTACCCATCAAGCTCAATACCAGCGTCCTTCCAGTCAATTCGTCCTTCGTGCTTTCGATCTCGGAGCGTCATTGGAGTGTGAGCATTGATTCGGACTGTGTCTGTATATGTCAATGAAGCAATGATCTTTTAAATATAACTTTGAGTTGGTCCCTAGCCTGGGTGTTCGTGAATCGTTCCAACGATGAGGGCGTACTGCATTAATGGTGGTTGTAGGACTAGCGAAGGGAACCTTTGCTTTATTTACAAACCCGCTCACTGATTGTACCCGAGATCAATATTCGCTTCTCGGGCTGTTTCGCGTCCGACATTAACTCGCATGACTTTGGTTATCATGTTAGGTATCCTCTCCTGCTAATCCCGCGTACTTATTGGTTCATTGGCACATGACTGGTGCAGACAGAAAGCTTCGCAAGAATCTGTGTAGCTTGGAACTTTGTTCAAGCGAAGTTATGATGTCATTGCTGGCTGTAATGTTTGTCCACCCGGCAGCTCAAATGTAACCTGAGGTTCCTGACATTGGGTTGAAGGAGGCCCCCCGCAACATGCCAGTCGGCGCATTTTTGCGGACATTGACATTCTTCAACTTTAACGATGTACCCAGCTTCCGGCTTCGGGAAGGGGAATTACGCAACGGCTCAATCACCGCCCAAAAACATCGGCGGAAATGTTCGGGTGTCACATATTCTCTGATCCAAATTCTATTGCTTGTCCCGAGAGTGATGAGTCCGAGTGATTTTACCTAAAAACAGGGGGGAGGGGTGGTCCCAGAGAGACCTAAGTTCGGTATGGGCTCCAAGTTAATTCGTTACGTCAGAAAGGTTAGCTAGTCACCCAGTTGAAAAATAAACAGTATCTGTCGCCGTTAGATCTAGTGGGTTGAAGATTTCTCCGTCAGCACGCTCAAAATTTGTTCTTCTTTTCAAGAATGGTACATAGGACGAGTGAACATAGTGGGTTGCATATATCACGAACGGCCTATGATCAGCAGGCGCCTTTTTCCGGAAAATAGTTTCTTCTGACGAACTTGCTGAACAACCCTTGCAAGGTCTTTGGTTTCGCTGCGAGAACGACAGCAATCTTCCCGCATGACACTGGCATAGATGTATCGGGTGAGTACCCGACGACAATGGGTCACAGCACTTTCACGGGCATCCGGGAAGATAAGAAGGTCATTGCGGCGTCGTTAAAAGCGTAGCACAGGTTGAACGGGGAAGGCACTTTTGGTTGGGTTTACCGAAGAAGTTCAAGAAGTACAGGACCAAGCTTAACAATGCAGAGATTGTGGACGGATTTCACGAATAAACGAATAAATTCGGCCAACTCCGCTACAAAGCAGCTAAGGTAAGACATACAAGCCGACCTCGTTGGTCCGTAACAACGCATAGAAAACACAGTGAAAACCAACACACTCCGACCAATTTCTTAACTACTTTCCTAACTTTCGACGGCCCTTAACCATCTCCCCCCAAACCCAAAATAAAACCCCAAATTCTCCCTGCCAAATGAATGAACCCGGAATGCCACACATGTCCCATAGCGGATGCGCAACGCGAGGACAAAGCCGGAAAGCGACGATGGATGAAAGGGATGTGTCCTAAATACCACAAATTCGCTCCATGAGGCCAAAAATGAGAGTCGTGAGAAGAACATTGAGGGGAAAACAAAACTGGAATGAAGTCGATGATTGCCCTTTGCAATGCCTCGGAAGCTTTGTCTTCCAGTAACTCCTTGGTTCTAGAACAGAGCCCTGACACTGCGGATATGCGAAAACTTCGGAACACTGGGCATTCGGAAAACAAATGGTGCATGGACTCTGCGGAAATGCAACCCAATCTACACTGCGCTGATGCAACCAACCCTCTTGCATGCAGAAGAGCGCGAGTTGGAAGCTGCCCCGAACGGGCATACAGTTGAACACATGCTGAAAAACCCGCACTCGTTCGTTCATATGGGAAAGAAGGGCTCGTCATTGCCTGAAAACCAGGCATTCGCTGGTGTGAAGTCCAGAATAAGTGCCTCGCTGACTTCTCAGACCACTGAGAAGATGCAAAGGATAACACATTATTCTCGATGAAACCCAGGAAAGGACGCCAAAGAGAAAAGGCATCCATGGTGAAAGTCGGCAATGGAGCCAACGGAACGATTGAAGGACGAGAGTGTGCGAGAGAAGCAGCATGATCAGCAGCGCGGTTTAAGACTGAGGGCATGTCCACGGCCTGAGTGTGAGCTTTAACATGATCGAAATGAATGCCGTTTAGCCGAGTCAAAATGTCCTCGAACCAACGGTAATACGAACGTGCATTCTTGTATGCCCAGAAGTTTGGAGGGAGAGAGTGTGAACGAATATCCTCCGTGAGCCGAACAGATTGTAGATGATCTGAGTAAACGTGCGAAGGCCCGACACCAAGTGCTGAAATGAGCAGGCCAGCGGAGATGAGAGCCAGAACCTCCCCCTGAATGCTGGAAGCATTGACCCCAACAATTCTCAAGGACACAGGATGAGGCCCAACCACCGCAGATGTTACTGAACCTGCAACCTCTCGACAGGAACCATCCGTTGCCCACATAACAGGATCCAAAGGAATAGGATCCAACAACGCTTCCAATCTAGCCGAGGCCACAATACTGTTCTCTGCAAGGAGTTGTCGTTCTTGAGTAGGCAGGGAGAGAGAGACCGGACCTGACACCAAGTCGGACAATGACAAAAGTCCGAGCCAATGGCACATAACCCGATAATTGTAGAACTGTGGTGAAGGGAACTGGAATGGGTTAGGAAGGGAAGTGCCAAAAGAGGGAGGGGAACAATTCTGCACAGGTGGATGACTCCAAGATCCCCAAGCCCCAAGGAAAGCGTGAGATGTCCCTCGATAGCAGCGAACAATCGATGAATGCGGTGCCCGTGACGACTTCTTAGCCAGGTGGGAAAGTGATACATGACCGTCCAAGATATCGGACTGGTCCATGTGTCGGATGTGGAGGTCAAGTTGGCGGAGACAGTCATGAGCCACAGTAAAAAGAAAAGGTAAAGAACGCCGATGACGGAGAAAAGACAAACGTAACCCAACTGAATCAAAAGGGAAAATACAAGGCAGAACAGAACACTCCCAATCCGCCAAAGATATGAGAGACATATGTCTGAAAATCAGAAGATGGTGGTTCAAATCACGGAGTAGTCCAGCCAGAGCAAGAGAAGCATTGAGATGTGGGATGGACGTGAAACCGAAGCCATAGTGATTCGAGGGGAGAGAAAGCACTTGAGTGGAAGGGGAAAATGGGAAAGGAAGATAAGAGTGGACGAGAGACGCGATTTGTGACTGAAGGGATGAGGCATGCGACGGGGAGACTGGATGCAAGGCCAAATGAGCCCGAACTTTTGATATCAATAGTTGGTTAACAATTTTCCGGATCACTGTGATAGGGAAACGTTGATAGGATTTCGGAATGATAAAAGATGAAATCAAAGATGATAAATGATTGAACTGTGAGTTTGGGTCATTAATGGATACACGGAGGAAATGAATATGATCACGACGAACTGGGACCTGGACCATTGGGACTAGAGGAGATGAAGGGCAAGAAAGTGAAATTGTTGGCATAGAGATGGAATCAGCCTTGAAGGAACTCGAATTGAGCACAACGACCTCCGATTTTTCCCAAGCCGTTAACCAACCATAAGCCAGTTGGAAACGTTCCATAAGTAGACACATTGAGCGGATGGAAGAGATGGAAGATGCAAAAAGGAGGGAGTCATCCGTCGCCTCCACCATAGAGATTCTAATAGACAATGAATCAGCATGACGATGGGGGTCAGCATTGCGCGCCTTAATAGACGAAATCTTGACCCCGTGCTCCTCTGACAACCAACGATGACCTAGACTAGTTGTAAGGGCCGACTTGAAAGGAGATAGCGAGCCACCCTGTTTTGTTACCCCGTTAATGATGATTGGCGGAGTATCGCCATAAGCGGTGCGAAGAGAGCAGCGAACATCGAGCTGGGATGACTGGTCCAGATTGATTATGCTCTCAGGCAGCCCGTAGGCTAGGATGGCATCATGAAAACCCGTGGGGGAAAGGAAATCGAAGCCCTTCTGTTGGTCGCGCTTCAGAATAAAGAGGGGTGTAGACGTACGGTTGGACCAGGCCTCAACTTGGGCAAGGAAGCTGGTCATGTCTCTACCCTGAACACCCTGCTGAGTTGCGACTTGAGTTTCGGGAATGAGCTGAACCTTGACATTGTACAAATTTAATTGTAAGCTCAGCCAGGCAAAAGGAAGATTGGCAAGAAGATTTGAGAACATGATTCCTCGTTTATTCTGGAGCTGTGTAGTGAGCCCCCGTTTGTGAAGCGTAACCAGGACTGTATCCCTGAGAAAAGCTGGAATGAAGGAATGAGTGATTTGGAAATTTAGGAGGGATTGCACCAGGGATAACGCGGAGTCTGACAGTGCCTTAACACACCACTTCTCCCATCCATCCGGGCCTGGGGCTGGGTGAGGGTTACCCCGACGGAGGAGCGAACGAAGCTCAGGTAAGGAGACACAGCGGGGCCATATGAAAGGAGAGTGTAGGACCCGATCTCTCAGTGCGCGAACTGGGGAGCAATCAAGCCAAGGTTTGTTGTCCTCTGGGGTAGGATGATGATGATAGAGATTGGTAAAGTAGCGAATGGTTGCATCCTTCACTGCCTCCTCTCCTGATACTAACTGATGTGTGTCAGGATCCTCTACCACCAAGGGCGAGTCAGCTGCCAACTCATATGGCATGAGAGACTTCGCTGAGCGGCCTCTAAGAACGGCAAGCACCTTTCGACGGTGTGCCAATGAAGCACGTTCATGAGCCAGTCTGTTTGAAAGGGAATATCGCTCCTTGAATAGACATTTCCGACGTTGGCGGAGGAAAACAATGGCATGTTCACGGTCCATCGAAGAGGGAATACGCAAGAACTCTGGGCGCAGTCGCAAAGGGAGAAAGTGAACAGAAGGTAGAGGACCTTGGCGAAGTCGGAACAACAAACCACCAACCGCACGAATGCAGTAGTTGACTTGTCTAATCTCGGGAGAGGAGATTGTAGGAGGCCGTAATTGAGGCGAAAAAGCTCTTCGACGACCAAATACATCCTCCCCTGCTGAGAGTAGAATTTTTGAGAGAGCACGATAGACAATCTCGAACTCATCTAGGGACACAATCTCATGAGTGAGGAGCCCTTGGTCCGCTATTTCACGGTCCACCCTGCCAGAAAAATCCTCAAATTTCGCTTTAGTAGAGCTGGACGGGTAAGGATAGAGCAGACGCGGAGGTGGAAGGGAACGCTGAGGTAAGAAAGGCACAAGAGAAGGGCCTTCTGAGCCAAGTATGTGAGCGGAGATGTGAATGGCACGGTGATCTGTGGCACCCAGGAAATCCCGCTGGGTCTGGATGGATGCGGAGAAAATTGGAGAGGATGAGATCACTGCTCTATCCACTACTGACTTGGCCCCATTCGCATAAGACCTAAGCGTGTAATCTGAGTTGACATCCACGTCGTGCTTCAGAGACCATAAATCAAGAGCGTCCGAAGCTGTGAGGAAATCTTGGTAGATCAGAGCCTCTGGTGAAAGAGCACCCGATGACCGTTCCCTCGGGGCCATGGTCACATTAAAATCCCCAGCAGCCATCCACAGGTGAGGGAATGGTTCTTGCAATATGAGGCTCCGAATTTCAGACCAGAAAGAACGGAGGGATTCCCGCGCGGCATTACAAGGGGCATATATCCCCAAAAGCCGTAGGACCTTGGGGGCTAGAGAGGAGGAGGCTAGGATAACGTCGAGAGCAACTACCCTGCCCTGTAAAACTGGAGGGACAGAGAGACGACGCAAAACTTGGAAGTTTTTCCTCACTCCCAAAGCTAGACCCCATTTCCCACATCGCCGGGCTAGTGGCAAAGCTGGACTCTCATATACCATATAGTTGGGAAGGCTCAACAAGGGCATAGATGGTGTCGTTGATTTGGTCTCAGATAGAACGAAAGCGAGAGGAAGAGTGGATGTGATGAGGGACGTAATGAGATGGAGCTTGAAAGCATTTCCCAATCCGTTCACGTTAGCCGCGAGAACACTGAAATCCGTTGAAGTCGCTTGGGCCCCCGGTAAGAAGAGAAAGAACAGGAAAGGTAACAACAAGAAATGGGGGTTGCAAACCAAAGCCCATACAACGGTTTGTATAGAGAAGTACACCCACAAATAGGCCACAGACAAAGAAACAACTGAGACACGGGGAAGGGAAACTGGGACAGCTGCAGAACAGAACACTGAAACACAGGTCGGAGCAGTAGACAGGAGAGGTCCACTTGCATGTGCCGACTGAAAGGGTAAACCAGAGGGAAAAATAACATGGGGAACAGATGGAGGAACAGAGGGGGAAAGCGAAATGTGATCGGACCGCATGCAGAAATTCAGCCCTGAAGAAGCAAGCAAGGCGGGGGGTAAGACAGAGGGAAAGTTAACTAGCGGAAGAGATGGAGCAGTAGGGGAAAGGGAAACATGATCGGATACCAAGCGGAAATTCAGCCCTGAAGAAGCAGGAAAAACAGGGGGTGAGTAAGGGGGCCCAAGAACAGAGAAGATTAGATGGTAGAGAGCATCGAAGGATCGATGTAGTCGAATGACTGAGGCATGAAAGAGCAAAGAATGCATCAGATACGGCACCTTACGATGGCGTTTAGCTGATGGGCCAGGATCATCGGGCGTGCCCGGGGACTCCAGGGCCATATCGGCGTCGTCAAATTGGATGGACGATGACTGAATCGCCTGTTGAGGAGACAGGCAGTCGATAGTCATGCTGGTGCCAATTTGGAGATCTGAGAGGCTCTTGAACAACACGCTATTCGTTTTGGAAGCAGACTGAACTTGTTGGTGAAGAACCATAATTTTGTTGGTGATGGCATCCTTCTCGGCATCCGTCTTTGCGTGATCCCGCTCCAACACAAGAAGAGTAATCTCTTCACGAAGGCCCGAAACCTGCATCTGTCCACCGATAGTGTGTACCATTCCAGCCATCGATTTGTTAAGCGCGGCAACGGCGTGGCTTTGAGCTTGAACGACAGAAGACATAGAGCTCACAACCTCATTAGTCTGACGCATCTGTTCAGTCAGAGTGGTGATAGCACGGTCAGCTCCGGCAGTCACTGTCTCGACCTGAAGGCGGTGTTGAGCCAGCTGGTCATATACTTTGGCCATACTCGCATCGTGGGAGACTGCGAGAGTGTTGATTGCGGCCGCAGTGGACCTTGGTATGAAAAAACCTTTACCGTTGAGTTGATAAAGAA